CCAGGTGGTGATCAGTTGATAGCTCACCTCCTCTCTTCACCCGAGTGTCCAAAATTATCAATCTGTGAACTAGGGTGTCCCGGTGAAACATGCACTCTTGGACACTGTTATGTTCAAATGTGTTAGTGATGGACAGACTGTGATTAGCACAGAAGTTCAACAGAACACCGTTCAGGTTCAGATCAGCCCCTCCAGGTCACACTGTTGCTACCCATGTGAGGATTGAAGTCGTCCAGAATAAAGGAATCCCCAACTGCAGCACCTTCCAGCACCCCCGCTCTGAACAGTTATTTGGTGACAGTCAGAGCCTGTCCAYCCACCYRAAGGTACAGGGAAGCTACCCTCTCATCTACTGGGAAGAAAATAGACCCACACCAGCTCGGAGCCTCTCACCATAGGCAACTTCAGAGTAGAATAAAATTCAGCCCCTTTTGAGATTGGTTCCGGAACCCATGCTGTGTGTTGAGGTCAGCCCAACTATATTTAACCAGAACTTCTCAACCTCACACACAAGCTCAGCCTCCTTCCCCTCCAGAGAGGTGACATATCATGTCCCAAGGGCCAGCTTTGGTAAGCCAGGGTCAGAGTGYCAAGGTAGCTGCTTTTGGCTACTGCCCATGGCATCATGCACCCAACTCAAAKGGTCCCTCCTGCAGGTGGTGGGCCCACAGGAAGGCAAACCCATGTAGCTCATTCAGKCTGAGCCCAGCTGGGCCCAATGGATAGAGACCTGGACACCAGACGCTTTCTGACAAGCCCCTCTCCCATGCTTGTCTCCAGGGTGGGATGCTGGTAACCGATGTCCTGGCAAGGAACACTGAGTTCTTTGATCTTTTTTGTCAATAAGAGTCTGTTTAATCATTCGTTGTCTGGCCTGTCACCTAAGACCAATCTGCCGTGGGAAACACAGCAAATGTGCATATCAAGTTGTATGGATTGTCCATAATTTACATGGATTTTTCCTCATTTTGCAGGTATACAGACGTATAGAGCAATCTCATGGAATTTTTCCACGTTTCATGAATTTTTTCAAAAACTCRCTTTCCAATTTATTTAACATTTCAGAGCCTGTAAGACGTTAATAAAACAATGAATAACATCAAATAAMCATCCTCCAACCAAGTCTGCCGCTAGAAATCAGTTCTCTCGTCCTCATTTCCTCTTGCTTTGCACTGCAAGCAGTGCTGTCATCTCCGCAGCCGACAGTATGCCTGCACCCTCTCATGTATGAGTAATATGGAATTTTGTATGGTTGAGGCTCAYTATACAGATAAGCGTCTGAAGGAGTTGACATGAGCATAGCTCCTAGGATCATTCAAAAGCACAAACTCCTCCACCATAATAAGGTGATGATTCGAGGTAATCCATCATGTTACATGGAAAAAACATAAACAAGATTATATCTTATTTAGGTGGATGTAATTCATATTTTGGACATAATAAATTTAAAAAATATTCACCTTTTATGGATTGTACCTTACTAATGCAATTAGTAATGAAGTGTTAAATAAATAATTGTTTAGTACGTGGGTTATGTTATGTGTACTGACTATACAGAAACAATTGATACTAAAATTTAATTCATRCATTTAATACATAAAAGTAAACTATCCTGGCTCAGACACAAGAACATTTTTCATAGATAGAATAAGATTAATACTTTGTGTGAAACTCTCTAGTGTCTTCCATTTTCTCTAAACATAATTTTAAACTTAAATGAAAAGTTTGTTTTCATCAGTCCACCTAACTTTATTTCCCAGAAGCTTTGTGTATTTCTTGTGATAAAGGTGATCATTTAAATGKTTTTTCAAGAGCAATGGCTTACATTTTGTGCCATGTGCACCTTTGTTGTTCAATGTGTTCCTGATAATTGACTCATCAGTTGTTTCATAGAAGTAACCTTGCTTTTTCTGACCTTAACGACTATTACAGACTTTATTCCTGGAGTGGTTCATGGTGGTTGGAGACTCCTGGGGTGGGTAATAATGGTCTTTTATTTTCCCCATTCAGAGTGTGGAGTTCMAACTTTTCATGGATGGTTTGCCACCTCTTGTGTTTGATGAGCAGCAGTAGCTCTTTCTTTGAGATTGAAAGAAATCCCTTTAGTACAGCCTGGAAACACGAGACATTCAACAAAACCATGTTCTGATGATCAGACTTTGAGAAAATATCTATTTTCAATTAAACAGGGGACCAACTCAAACCAGTCTGATATCTGTTAGATTGAAAACACTCATCTAATTTTAATTATACAAATTTGGTCTACACTAATGTGCATGCTTTCAAAATTTGGGAGGGAACGTGAGTACCCAGAGAAAACCCACACAAACACAAGGAGAACRTRCAAACCACACACAGAAAGGCCCGAGGTCCGAACCCGCAATMGAACTGAGGACCTTCTTGCTGTGAGACAATAKTGCTRACCACTAAGCTATCATGCTGCCTATAAAGTTGCCATTTAAATATATATATTTGACTGAATTATAGCTGTTTTTGCAAAGGTTAGCTGTAGGGGTGTAACGATACTTCGATCTATATCGATATATTAATTGGAATGGTTCATGATTCAATTATATCGAGGCAAAATTAAAATATCGATCTATATTGTCATCATATGCTCAATAGGAATCGATATTATCTGCCCATCTTACACAGTTATCGTGTTAGATGGGCAGATGATATCGCATTATATCAATTGCAGACATGAATTGAATTGAATCGAAATCATATGATGACAAACTTTGTAATAGAGAAATGTCAAATCGTCATCCAAACATATTGATTTAATATTGTATCGTGATAAAGCTGGTGATTTACACCCCTAGTTAGCTGTGGGAGTCGCCTTAATTTGATTAGCTTTAAATGTTAAGCAGTTTTAGATGAATCGTCCAGTGGTTCATGAGTCTCTCTCTCTCTCTCTCTCTCTCTCTCTCTCTCTCAGCACTGTAAACACTCCTACTAATTTACTGTGAGTTGCTGTGAAATAAAATAAAATGATCAGTGCACAAACCAAAGACTCATTCCACTCTGGAAAAACCAAACAAATATAAATAATACTGTTTATGTATCCAATGTCTGATCTCTGCCACCAGCTGTAGAAAAGSTTCAGTATGTGAACTGGTGGCACGTGCAGTAAGGTACCCTCACATTTGTTCTAATTATGTACATTTCTATTGATGTGGCKACCCTCTTAATTATTTTCTCATTGATCTGCGCAGCAGCTCTCCAGCATGCAGGTCATTGAACAGAGCTGCTCCAGCTGCTGGAAATGCAGCTGGAGGCTTCTGTCCCAGATATGAAGCAATAACACAAACACAAAAATCATTGAAACACACATACCCACATGTACAGAAGTGACAACACTAACTATTAAATGGCCAAATTGGAACAAACGTATTCATTTTCTTTGACCAAAAGTACAGTTGTTAAAATAAAAAAGAACATAGAAGACACAATGTAATGCAATGTTTAATGTAATTACTGTGGAGCTTTGTTCAACTTGAAAGGTACAAAATGGAACAAAAGGTACAAAATGAAGGCTAACTGCACATACAGTAAATTTAAGTTGACACCAGGAATCTAGGTCKAATGTCACTGCATTAGCCTAGGTTGTACATGTTTTAAYGTATRTTACTTGTCYCTATACAAATAAGCAATAAATGAATAGAAATGAATGATTACGTATAAAATCATTACAGCACCTCACAAACCTAAACACATAAATGTTAAGATAAACTATCGTTTAAACAGATCATATTTGTGATTAGATTTCCATCTAGCTGCTTGCAGAACTGTTTTTTTTTTAATCACAACACAAACTTGCCAGTTTTCAAGGTACAGTGTTCGTATCCTTGAAGCTAGTTTATAATGCCAGGAATCAGGACCCCATCCTCACCTCACAGATGAAACATGACCTTGACTTCTCTTCTTGGAGGTGGGGGGCACACAGGGTGGGTTCTAAATTCTCCAGTTTTGTAAATCATTGAGGTTGTTGCCTTCACCAATAAATCATTTCAGAAAACAATAATTCTACACAATATAAGAGCTGAAGGATTAAGCACAATTCACATAGGATATATACCTTTCAAAAATTACCCCCACCTTACAGACACACACACACACACATTTGTTCTTCAACCCTGTGAGACCGTGCATTGACTTCCATTTATGTTTTTTAGACTTTATAGCCTAACCCTGACCATTTACCCTGAAATTAACCTCACAGGTACCTACCTGACCCTAAAACTAACCTAAACATTGGTTCTAAACCTAACCCCACACCCGTAATTTGCATTTGGATCCATGGGGAACTGGCATTGGTCCCCATGATGCACTTTGGTCCCCACGAGGCTGCTTTTTTGGGAAAATTTTCCCCACATTGTAGGAAAAACCAGTCCACACACACACACACACACACACACACACACACACACAC